TTAACCAATTCATTGTAAATGATTTATGCAAAAATGCAAAGAGTAGCTATATCGCAAAAACTCTTTATCACAACGACTCCTTTTAAAGGTTTTGCTGTGAAAAAGGCGTTGGTTTAAATTAATAATACTTTTACACAATTTTGTATTTACAGTGCACCATACAACATATATATATTTTACAAATTTCCACATTTTTAATTCGAGAAGTAATTTTGGATAGTTCATCTTTTCCTTTTTGTAGTTTTATGTTCCAATGAAAACACTTTCAAAATATTCGGCAAACATTTTGTAACCTTTGTTACTGGTTTCTTATGATTCGAATTCGATTCTTCCAAATTATAATTAATATCTGCCCACGTCGAATGAGGTATACGTTCAAGTGAGTTACCAATTCTTCAAGATACTCAATCAATGGCATCAACGATTTTTGTTGCGTGGGGAGCAATATTTGTTTTTAATTCATCGTGCTTCTTCATCAGGATCAGTTGTTTTTGAAAGTTTATCGCAGATGGAGTTACTTGTAGCATTATCCCTTTCCGTTCTCTTGATGAAATCTTTTGAAATACGGTTCTTGGTTAGCTACATTTTCTTTAACTATTTGTACGTTTTTCTCTTCTTTTCATATCTCAAACGATTCACAAAATATTAAGTCGTTTACAGCAGGTACTTTTCTTGTAACTTCTCTCAAAAAAAATTTATTCAATTTTTTTTAATTGAATGACTAGGTGAATATACAATGCTTTCTTTCAAATCCAAACAAAGATCTTTTTATCATCAGAATAACTACTTATATGACTAGTTCAATTTAAAAAAAAATTTTTATTTATATGAATGAACATGAACCTATTTTCAAATTTCCCCGAAAATTAAGAGCCAACACTGGCTCAACTAATCATACAAAATGACAAAGAATTGGTCGAGTAAATAAAGATTTTTCTAACAACTCATTTACTTGAAATGTTCAAGCTGAAAATCAATCAGAGGATTTGAAAAATTCAAATGATCTAAACTTGATCACCCTTTTTTCAAATAGTTTGTTCGAAAGACAAACACAAATGATCAATTAACATTTAGAACACAAAAACATTTATTGTCCGATACATGTAAGCCAAAAAAAGGTCTCAAACTCTGAAAATGATGAAAACTGTCCAAATGTCTGGCATGTTCTCATATTTGTTATTGGAAATTTTAAATTTTATCTTAAACATTTCCTTAAAATTCAACCAATTGTCTAACGAACTGAAAACAAAGCCGTTTACAATTTTAATATATCGTCAATTTTATTATACGGTTTGTTTTCAATGTGTTCAAACATTCAAAAGACAAACACATATCCGTTAAATGTTCAACCCTATCAAATATTCGCGGGCGTATTTGCTCATGTAAAGAGTGAGGGTGTTCGAAATACATCCAAGTAAAAATGTTAAGAAATAAACTAGAATGGGTAAAGAAAGCATGATGGCAACAATACGATAGAACCATTCTCGCGGATGCCATTGAGAGACATCGAGCACAGTCAACAAAACAAATTCCCAACAAAAAGTTTTAAATTAAAAAGAACAATATAACAGCAATATCATAAAACAAATTAAACTTATACCAAGCGAAACGATATTAAAGAGAAGGAGAGAGGTAGATAGAGAGAGAGAATGAGATCGAAAGATGGGAAAAATCCGTGAAATGAGATCAAAAATGAAATGGATTCAAACATACACTAGGCAATCTCATATAAATAGATACATGCGTAGAATGTGTGTATATTTATTGTTATTTCTTTTACAAAGACAATGCGTATGTGTCGATGCGACCGAAGAAAAATATCATTAAAAAATAACAACAAAACATTTTTGCCGCGTTACAAATAAGAGCCATAAAAACATAAACAACAGACACATTAAAATGGTAATCATAAATTCAGTTCTCCACATCGAATGGCTCGGATGCATAAATGCATATGTGTACTGTCAAATCGATTCGAAAGAGTTTACGAAAATTAAAAATGAATCTTGTATGAAACTGAAAGGCAGCTGAAATTTTAAAATGCCATTTAACTTCTTGTTATTTAGTTCTGGTTATTTGTTCCCCTTCAATTACTACACTGGCTGATGCCGCTCTATTAACCATCTCTCACTATGCCAAACCTACCAAACAGAAGCATCTCAAAAAGCAAGCACGACGTTTTCTCATCGTTTTTCTTCTGTGTACACAATGACATTATCGATGTGTGCAAAGAGAGTGTGTGTGGTGTGCTCAAAACGGAGAAAATTTACAAAATTAAATTTTCTCAACAACATCGTTATTGGCATGCTATTTATATGTGTTTTATGGTAAATTCACATATGCTTCATCAATTTGTCGGTTGGTTTGAGCGTTGTACCGAGCTCACCGTCGCAAGTATGGCAAATTTGAAATTAAACTTGAACAATGTTTTGTGTCAATGGGAAATTTGATGGTTTTGGAACTTTAACGAATATACCTGCTTTTGTTGATGGTACAACCATAACATATAATTTGATTTGATGTTCAATTTTTGATGCCGTATACATTTAATGGACGTGACGCGTGTTTATGAAAACAAGCAAATCACCAACTAATTGTTGCGCATCTACATGTCATCTGAATGCTTTTCATTTAAAACGGCAACGACATCAACTCATTTTTTACATTAAAACATATACACTGACACGGTGAGGGCGATTTAATTTAAAGAAATAGAAAAATACCTACATCAAATGGAGTCTGGTTTGTGTTTCACTGAAATTGTTCCGCATCTTCGAAAGGTAAAAAAGATTGCGCCGAAAAATGGTTAAAAATTAAACAAGTTGCTCGGGAAAGATTGCACGCAAAAAGGTATTGCAAGAAGAAAACTATTTGATAGATACCTGACTAGGGTGGTCCAAACGTCTCAGTCATGATGGAAAATCGTCATTTTTTTGGCTTTCAAGAAAAATTGACACACAATTGCCACAATTTTTCACAATTTTCCGCCAAAAATTTATTTTAAATAACCGCCGTTTGTATTTTCTGAAATACTCCCGGCGGCATGCATTTCATTCTCCAATCTAACAACGTCAATAAGTTAACTTGAGCCCATAATTTATTTTATGCATCGGGGAGAAATTCTTATTCAATATTTGAGCCACCCTACTCGACACATCGAATCCCACGTATTTAAATACAACTCGATTTTCATTAAGCGTGAGAGACTTTATCTCATAAAATAATTTAATTAAAATGTAAGAAATATACTTGAAAAAACATATGCATATAGTACCTGTCGCCTTAAGTTTGAATAAATAAAAAAAGGAACGTGAATAACTGCACGCACGATTCAAGAAAAGACGACAAAGAGACAGGAAGCATACAATTTAAATAAAAATTACTATTCACTTATCAAAAGCAGTAACGAAAAAAAAGGTGAAAGAACGTGCAGAGAAAAATCTACGCGCGTCATTGCAAATCACCGAAACAATGTGTGCGATTGTCATGTGAAAAATGTGTACATTTCAGCATTTTAAATTCAGTGGAATGCAAATATGCGCGAAAGAGGAAATTAAGGCACATAAAGAAAATAGAAAATCTTATTAATTTTCAGCAACATTTTTAGTGTCGTCTTATATTAATCTGAACTGGATGATGCCTTTTCTCGTTATTTCAACATTCTTTTTCCTTTAAAAAACAACTTTGTTTCTTTCACTATTTCATATGTTTCAAACTCTCGCATTGTCATATGGCAATCTTTCAATTGAAACATTATACACGTTGATGTGTGAAGAGTCCTAAGTGGGGTGTTTTCAAAATGTGATTTTAAATCAAAATAGCAAATCAAATAAATTAATGATGGCTTGAAAATTTCCAAATAAAAACAGTCCTCAGCCGTTTTACATACAACGTTTACACGGTGTATTACAACGCGGTCACCTTGCGGCAGAGCTACGCGTCGGTCGTATATATTCTTTATGTATAGAGCGATGACCATAGCTCTGCCGCATACAAGTGTGAGCGGGTCGAGTCTCGCATAGTATACATAAATAATACATACGACTGACGCGTAGCTCTGCCGCAAGGTGACCGCGTTGTAATACACCGTGTAAACGTTGTATGTAGAACGGCTGAGTCAAATGCTGGGGGACGGACACAAAATCTAGTAAAATCTAGTTTCATAGTTTACTGCTAATTTTGCTAATATTTTTCTAATATTAATAAAAAAATCTACTATTATACAGACATACTAATATTGCTAATATTGCTAATATTAGTTCACTAGTATAAACGTCAAACGTCAAATAGCTGATCTCAAAGTGAAATCATGTATGAATTCTTCATAAATTCTTAGATGAACATTTAACATTTTTATTATTTTTCCTGGTTTAGAAAAAATAAAATTTATTTCTATTAAATACTAAAACATTTAAAGTAACAAAAAAAGTTTTCGGTGAGCAAAGTGCGCAATTCTCTAACAAGCAATGGTGAAGCAAAACAAACTAATTTTTGCTAATATTCTAATATTTATAATGGTGTCCGTCCCCTAGGTCAAATGAAGTGATGATTTGAAGTGTCATATGTTTCGAACGATTAGAACATTTAAATTTGAGAAAAATTCAAATCAAATCAATTTATTTGATTTTAACATTGATTTCAATTGAATATGTATTTATTATTTTACTAAAAAATATACAAAATATATTGTGAATTGAATTTTTTTAATGTTTTGTTCCGATTTTTCAAATCATTTTCAAATCAGAGAACTATGAATCCTAACTCATATTCATTTATGAGGAAAAAACTGAAATATGAAATCAAGCCCGTTTGTTTTATTTTTACTCCCGTTTACTTTTTCGACACACGCGTGCTCAAAATATACGTAGCTACTGAAATTATGAGTGAAACGTATATGTTCTGTACTATAAACGAATATATTTTGGTATGCTGCTTAAAACTTTGTTTCTTAAATTAAATTGTTTTCAATCTTTCTTATTTCTAAATAAACGTCAAAGGTGTCTACACTTTTATATTAGATCAAATGAATTTTCAGCTTCTTAATTAAGTGATTGATAAGATGGTGAAGAAGACAGAACTACACGTCAGTAATTGTGGTTTTAATCATGATTTGGTTGATTCGTTTGTTACATCGCAATGGCAGTCGAAGTCCAGAAACACATTTTATTTAATATACCGCTGGTGCTTTGCGGCATTTGTGACGTGTGTATTCGTCATTTCACTCTATGCACATGTTCAGGGAACAAATAATTTTGGAAAGTTTTTTATTTATATAACGCGATGGGGCCTAATGATTAATTTGATAGTCGGGATCTATGGCGCTTTATTGGTTACATTGTGGCATTTTTGCGATGAGTATAGAGGTGACTAAAGAGCATACAAAAAATATTATGATAAAATAAAAATTGTGCCTTTTTACTTTTTGCAGATGGTATTCAAACCAAACAAACGATTCCAAGGAAATTTCAAGTCTACTGGGCATTGCACACCGTTGCATTGGAATTATCTTTTGTAATAACAATAGTCTATTGGTCAATTCTATACGATCATGGTGGGTCATCAAATTTTGTTCATATTATTGAACTTATAAATTTATAAGCTAAACGTGATGATGATAAACATCAAATCCATTTATATATTTTTCTGATTGCAGATGATTCTATAGACTTACCGAACATCTTAGCACACATAATGAACTCAGTTATCATGTTTCTGGACTTTCTAATTATAGGATTTCCAATGAGGTTGTACCACGTCATTCAACTGATTTTCTTTGGAGTTTGCTACGCAATATTTTCATATATTTATTATATTTGCGGTGGACATAATGCGTGAGTATATTGCAATCGACAACAATTATGACAATTTAAGAATATCTCTTCATTTCAGGAAAGGGAAACCGTACATATACCGTGTATTGTATTGGAAAGACATAGGCAAAGCATCAACAACTGTATTTGGTGTAATTACTCTAGGTATTATTATTCATTTTGTTCTGTTTTGGATATACAAACTACGTGTATTCATTCGTCGGCGATTCTTCACTGCTGAACTTAAATAGCTGAACAATCTTTAAATTATTCCAGCAAAACGATACTATTATGAAATTACAATATTAGCCAATCAAATTAAGTTTAATTCTCAATAAAATTCCATCAAACACTCTGATGTTATAATTATTCTCTTTAACTCTTAAATATTCCAATCGGAGGAGGTAATTTAATATATTATTTGAAAATACTTACGATCAACAAAATCATGAAATACGAGATGACTGCACACAGAAAAATGAATTAAACATTTTATTAGATATATCATATCTATTGAATATATCGATAGGAGAGTATGTTTTTAATAAACTTTTTATTATGCCATTAGACATTATAGCTATAGATATATTCAATAGATATGTGTCCATGGGAATAATAGTGGCAATACAGATGTTTAATTTGAAATACGTACGCTCAAAAAGTGAATTCTAAAAAAATCAAAGCGCGACAATGACAAGCAACGTTGACCGTAGTGCCATGGTGCGGTTGCCAGCGAAACTAAAAAATGACATAAATTTCGATCGCCTGAATCAAAAATGGTACAAATTTGTGCCACCCAACATAAACAGTGACAATAATAATGAACTTGCTGCGTTGCCCAGCTGTCATTGTCGTCGTGCTTTGAAAAAAATGTAGCATAGATGTATTCTATTCAATAAATATTACTTAAAATGTTGATGTCAATCGTTTTATTACGCTTCATTATATTCACAGCGCACAATCTCTGCTTTATTTTTTAGAATTCATTATTTTAAAGATTGTTTACTGTATACTACGTTTAAACCAAAGAGTGCGAATAGTACACAGAAAGAAAAAATGTGGTATTTTTAATTCAATTTTGGTAGATTTAATATAAAATCAACCAACAACGAATTAAATTTACCATTTTTGACATCTCTGAGGCATATTTCTCAAAAGAGACTATCAGTTTAATAAGTTTTACCAATTGCTTCATTTCATTCACCAAATTCATGGGTTAGCGTCATCTGTGGTTTCGAAAAGTTGGTAAATGTAATGAGGAAGTTTGTAAAACTTATTCAACAAATAGTCACTTTTGAAAAATATGCCTCAGAGATGTCAAAAATGCTAAATTTAATTCGTTGTTGGTTAATTTTATATTAAATCTACGAAAATTGAATTAAGAATACCACATTTTTTCTTTCTGTGTACATAAGAGAAAATATAAATGAAATTGGATCTGCAGAAGTGCTGCCAACTCTAAAATTAACAGGTTCAGCTCCATAAGAACATGTACGAATAAAAATGGTTGAGAAATGAGGTAACAGCGTGTTTATATGAAAAGCCGCCAATTACGGCTAGATAGCACATCTGCAGTTCGCAAAGTATTACTACACTTTGGTTTAAACATACACATATACACACTGTTACCTCCGAATGTTGTGTGTAAGATATAAAGAGAATGAAAATTCTTGAGAGAGAATGTATTTTGGCCATCGCTTTCAGTTTTGCGTTGACAATGAACAATCAAAATATTGAGCAAACATTTAATGTGATCGATACTGAAGGTACCGTTGTTGTGAAAACAGATGCGGCAAACCAAACCGATGAACAAACGATGGAACAATTGCAGCCATTGACAAATCAAAATGTGAATCAGATTGATATCACGGGGGACGGCAGTCCCCCAAGTGACGCAATACCAACATACATATGAAATATGTATATTTTGCGTCACTCTATATATATTATATATACTCTAAAGAAATGAAAATCGAAACCGCTGACTTTTGGAAAAGGGTTTTTGCATATTTTAGTAGTGCTCGGGCACCAAATTAAGAATCCGCAAAAAAAATAAAAAATTTCAAAATTTGACCGCTAGGCGGCGTTTCAAAAAAAAAGGTAAATTTTTGGTTTTGTCCATTTTTGACCACCCAAACCAGAAACAAATTTCCGAAAAATGGCATATTCGGAAACTGGAGTTCGGGTAGATAGTGTTGAAAAAAAAAATTGTTGGAGTCGATCGAAAAGTGTCCGAGATATGAGCATGTCAAAAAATCTTACGAAAAACACGAAATTGTTGAAATGATATGTTTGTTTGTCGGCAAATTTTTTTCCGTACTTTTTGATAAATCGCCGGAGACCGATTTTATTCGAAAGTAGATGGAAAACTGAGCATACATGTCTCTTCGAATTTTTCGATTTCGTCACGCAAGTGTCTGAGGTCTAGGTTCGAAAAAAAGTGGAATGCACTTTTTCAGTTTTTCATCGAATGGCCTACTTTCTGTGCATATGAAAGGTGGGGTAATGATCTATATGTCGTTGGAAAGCTACGAACCTCAGCTATCCAGATCTGACGTCAGATTGGAAAAAATTTCGAAAATGATCGCTAGATGGCATGTGTTGTTTTTTTGGAAAAATGACAATGACTTTTTTCACACCGACCAAAATTAAAAAAACTGCACTCATTTTTTTTTCGTGAAAAACTGAGCGTTTGTTGGGGACTAAATTTGTGATGTTTTGGTGTATGTGTCATATCTGGGAAAATTCGTTCCAAAAAAAATTTTCGGTTCCAAAATTAAAAAAAAAATTCGAAAATTTTTGATTTTTGGAGAATTTCTAGATTATGGTACACGGGGTGTTTTTCAACAAAGATACGTCATTTTTGGCTCTTTGGCAAGATATTGAGCTCCTCTAGAGCACACAGCGAAGAAATTTTGAAAAAATTCAGTGGAGATGGTTCAATCCATTTATGACCATACTATTAAAAAATGGGGAAAAATCGATGAAAATCGTAATTTTGTTTAAAAAAATGTGTGAAAAACTTTTTTTTTAATCATACATCGAAAGAGCACTCAATTTTGAACCAATGTGCACATTTTTTAAAACCAACATTTTTCAAAATTGGTCAAAATTCGAAAAAACGTGTATTTGGCGGACCACATTTTTAAGATTTTTTAAATAACCAGGAAACTACACCTTGAAATGATGTTTTGAGGGCTTTATTCAATTGAAAAAAATGAATTGAAACATCGCTGCAATTGGTTTTGAATAGATTTGGTAACCATACATACTACAAATTCACCGTAGAAATGTCACCTTTTGTTTCGAAATTTTACAAAAACAATTAAAGATGCAAAAAAAAAATCGAGAGCAAACATTAAACTCTAATTCAATGTAAAAACAAATGATGGCAGAAAGCAAAACAAAATTGGCGTGCATTGCAAGAAATCGATTAATATAAATATTCTTGATTTCCAATGTGATGAATATCAATATATGAATAAAATAAAAGAATATATGACATGATGAGAGTAAAAAGCAAATAAGTTGGGTTAGAATGCTGTGCAAATTTGAACCTTATTGTGTATAACAATAAGATTCATATTTGTATAGAATTCTAACCTCACTTATTTGTTTTTTACTCTCAGCCTCTCATATAAAATAAAGGCGAGCGTAGCGACTAGCGAGGCAAATTTTTTTGTAGATTTCAAACAGAAAAATTAAATTTAATGTTAAAACAAATGATATAAGTAAAAAACACTTCTTTGGAAGTTCTCACTGTGACGCAATACTGCACATCAAATCTGAAAATGATCTGATATAAATTTTCAGTGACGCTTGCAATCAAATACACAAACAATTTTTATATTGCGTTGCCTCTACCATTTTTAGAAAAATAAAAATGAAAATTTCATTGTGATAATGTCCAAGAGGAACTTTCCCTTTAAGGTAATCGCTCAAATGACCATTACTTTGCGCTTCGCTTGGCGCATGAACAAGTGATTTAATATGCAAAATGCGTTTTTGCATACGTATTTATAACGTCACTTTGCCCACCTCTCTAAGCGTGAAGTTGAAGAGGAAGCGAGTAGCGCTAAGATTTGAATAAAACTAAATGAGGTCTTAATCTAGTGAGTAATTATAATGAATTTTAAATATACAAAAATCTTAAAACTAATTTAAATTATGTTCAATTTGAAACAGTGGTTTTTTCCGCCAGTGCGGCTGATATCAAATCGAATTACAGCTAATTAAATCTATTCTCCTGCTCTAAAATTAAACTTTCCATGAATGACGCATCCGGCTCCAAGTGACACAGACCTTAAATTATAAAATACGCGTGCCAAGAACTGGATAAATTTATGTATTTTTCAAGGCTTTCTTTGCTGCATTTTCCAAGCATTCCAACAAATGCTTCAATCTCTGCTCGTTTGACAGCTCATCGTTGCGGTGTATCAGCACTTCAAAATCTTCCTTCCATCGCGGTCAGTCTTGTGGACTGCATATTCTGCGTACAACGGACCATTTTGTATTTCATTCCGACGAACTGCATGTTTAGAAGTCTTTGCTTCACCGTCATATTTTTGCATATCTTCATCGGTAGATTCACTTCATCTGTTGCATTTTCCGATTCATCAGACGCTTCTTTTGCCAAAGCGTATGCTCCATCATCCTTTGATTCCTCCAATCGGGACGATTTACTGGCTGCTCCTTTTCGTTTCCTGAATCATCAATCGTGATGACTTCGCTTTGCTTCGAGGTTCCAGCATTTTGAAAAAAATGAGTTTAATTTCGATTTCTGTGATTGCTAAATTCCAAGATGGCGGCATACAAACGCATTGAACTACTCAAAGTCAAAGAAATTCCGCACAAAAGAGAATAAAAAATCCATGCAAAATGTGGCCTACTAGTCGATTTTCGGCATAATATTCAAAAATTAGTACTGCGTGCACTTGTGAACAGCGCACATGTATACTAATACAAATATGATACATGTTATTTTGGATGTACATTGCGTATGTATTTTTGAAAATAGTAAAATGAAGAATATTTCAATATCACTATTCGGAGATTACGAATAAATGTGTGTACCCCCTAGTTATTTGTACAGCAACTCTGTAAAAAGAAACTCTGTGTTCCACTTTTATAGACTTTGCGTACAAGTCGGATTTTTATTCTTACCCATTCAAATAAATCAATATATAAAATAACATTTTACATGAATACGTATCATTTTAAAATTTCAAGAAGTATATAAGGCATAAGACCAATTTGCTGATAAAAACTTTTTTCTGTACTTATTGATGGAAAAAAAATTGTGACATTAAAGAAAATCATAGACCTTTGCACAGAGTGATAATCATTAAAAGATATTTTTTTTAAATAAAACTTTTAAATTCTTTACAATGAACGTTTTTACAGTTAAATTGATGGGTTTGAAGAAATTGTTTGTAGGATGCCTGCTTATTTGATATAGGCGTCGATGTTGAATCAATCATTCCTCTTCTATTTGCGCCATTGATTCCATTTTTCGCCAACACGATAGACCTTTTGTTGTCTTCATTCAAAATGTGAATATGATCTCCAGGATGTAAAGTACTAAGAATACTTGCGCCAAACAATCCTTTCCTGTGAAAAAAGTTGTTTTCAATGCAAAAGAATTATACGCATGAAGAAAATAATTTAAAAAAATATTGTACCTGAATCTGTAAGTCCGCATGTTGATGGATTTGCCGTTCATGGCATTTTTTCCCTCGCTTCCTATTCCATCGGGTCCTCTATTTCCATCCGCCCCCGAACATTTTATGTTCGCGGATCCTAAGATCATACATTCTCCTTTTTTACCACCGTAGCCACCAGCACCGCCATCATGTCCATCTTCAGCTGTACCCTTTTTACCATCTATGGTGTATATACGGAAATTTTCCATTCTGGATCTTTTGTATTCCGTCCAAAACCATCCATATTGCCCATAATAATCTTCCCTGACATATTTGTCCATTTCATCACCGGTCATAGGTCTCCACCCAAATGCAAAACCACGATTTTGCAATTCATCAACTCCTGCTGCCAAGTCATTGGTATTTGGAAAATATGCATCAGCTCCATTTTGGGCGAAACTTACAAGTTGTCCGTTGCAGCCAGAGCCGCCGTTTCCACCATTCTGAGTTATTTCAAGATTTTGATCGTTGACAAATGTTTTTCCCCATGCAAAGAAATTTCCGCCACAATTGCCGGGCAAACCAGGCTGTCCATAGCCCTGCCAATAAGATGATGGCGCGCTCCCGTCTAAATTAATGCGCCTCTTACCGATGATTTCCCAGATTGGAGCAACGATGGATAATTGTTGCAAATATCCGTTTGATTTAATGTCGACGTCAATGAAAATTTTCGTTATCGCAAAGATCTCTGCATAACGTATGTCCTTGTTCGCCATATAGCTATTTAAAGCACTCAATTTTACAATGTTTCCAGTAATTCTTAATGTTTGCGATATGACCGTAGCTTCGATGTTCGAATTCAATATGTTCGCCAGCCAATTATTCAATGCATTCATCTTCAATGCATTTCGTTTTACGTTTGGAATATTTAAACCGATTGCGCCACAGAAACGTTCCACGTTGTTGTAATTTATTTGATGTGTACTGTATTGAACGTTGTACGAACTCAAAAGGTCGAAATTGTTGTACAAAAAGTTGTACCATACTATTGTCTCATTCACATAGTCAGTAATGTCATGAAAATCAATATGATTCACGTCTTGAGACTTGTGGTATATTTCTTTTAAAAAATTAGAAAAAGCTATATTAGTCTCGTCAAACGAAAATGCCATCTGACTTTTAGTAAACAATTCTCGCAGATATAAAATCACTTCGGTGTACGTGGCAAATGCATGTCGGTTGTCTCTCAGTAACATTTGCAATATCGATTCGAAGAATTTTAAATCGTTAACACTTTCGATGGCTCTTTCGATATTCTCAACATTTGTTCTAAATACACGCAATGCTCGATCAATTGTTTCGTTCATTATTTGTCGCGATTGTTTTACGATTGCATCCAAATCGCTTGTCGACACATCAATTTCACGCATATCGTTCGAATTCTCTCTAGCACCTCGTACGAAATTCTTATCACCACCGCCAACTATATTTAAAGTGTTTTTACCATTTTCTGTCAAACGGAATATACCTTCGAATCGATCTCCAGTGTGCGTCATATTCAAATCGCCACTGGACCATTTCCATTTACCAATTATTTCGAAATACGGTGCGACGAGTTTTATGTTCACATCACGGTTTAAATTTGCATCCAAGAAAATCTTGGAATTAGCATTTATTTCTACAAATTTAACATCTGAATTGCATTGACGCAGCACGTCGCTTAATCGAATAAAATTTCCCGTTATTTTTACGACATTGGACGGCAAATATTTGAATTCGTGTTTGTCGTCAAACAATGTCTGTAGTATCGATAGTAAATTATTACGACCTACCAAAGTTAGTGTGAAATTTGAAATTTTGGCTGCAGTTTCCTCCCCGATGAAATGCCCGAATAACCGGAGCAAGTCCGTGCTGTTCACTTCACAAGTTTTCGAAAATTGTTCTTTGATATTGATAAAAGCTTTACTTGAATCGATTGCTTTGTATTCGTACAGCGACTTACGCAACTCGTTCAAATAATAATACCAACTGTATAAACGATCGACGTTTGTTCGACACGTATCAAGCATACTCGACAAATGAACGGGAACTTCTTCTGTTGTTTTATTCGCCAAATTCAAAAGATACATAAAATCTCCGACGTTTTCTTTAAAATTTCGTACGATCGCACTGTCCGAGAGATTTTTCTGTGGCAACAGTTGCAAAATATGAGATAAAAACTTTTCCGGATGTGTATGTCGATTCTGGCCCAAACTGTATAATTCGTCGTGGTAATATTTTTTTTGTGTCAAAATATCGATGGTTCGGTTTTCGAAATCGAAGTAATAAGTTTCCAAATTAGAACCAATTTCTTTGACATTAGCGAATAATTGGCTCTTGATCGTTTCGAGGGCTTCATTTATAGCCACTTTTGCTTCTGCAGATAAACTCATGCCTATCTTTAGATCTTTTGCTGGAATAAATTCCAGTTTTTCCTTAATCACATTTGCGATAAAATTTCTTTCGTTTGAGATGTTTTCGTCGTGCATTGTCGGTCCAGCTTGGCTCGGTCTTCGCACTATCGCAATATTATTGTGCTTTAAAAGTGCATTCACAATACTTGTCATTCTACTATCGTAGTTCTTGTACTTCGGCAAGCGAGGCAAAGCGTCCCTCAGAAACTTCAAGACTTTTTCAATTTCTTTATCGTCGTCTGTAGTGCTTTGAACTTTGTTGGCAATCAGCATAAAGCTGTTTTCGAATCTGTCCAAATTGGGCAACAGACTTACAACATATTCTAAAAAATTTGGAAATTTCTTTCGATCGCCAGTGGGCTTTACTGACTCTTGTTCAATGACAAAAGCAAATTTCACAAAATTTACAGCTCGCATAATCCGATTTATCGCGTACGAAATAGCTAGGTCATACTCAACCTGTCTTGTGTCATCGAATCCCGGACAGTCATAAAAGGACAAATTATTTTCGGGATCGTACAAAAATTCCGGAATAGTGGTATGCGACTCAGTGGTTTCACTGACATCTGAAATTTTATTAGAGGCATCTTTTATTGCGTATTCTTGCCCACCGGACACATATTCCGATGAATTCAATTGCGTGTCGTTGATCAAAATTCGAGCCACCGTACTCTTTCCATGACCAGTTATACCGATCAATATTGTGACGTTCGTTTTTTCACCAATCCATGGATTGCTTTCTAATTTATATTCAAATTCTTTGAAGAACTTTGTAAATTGATTTTCACAATGAATCCCACACAGGAGTACAAATAAAATCGCAACGTTTAATTTCCACATCTTCACTTTCATTCGATCAAAATTAAACTGTGCTGGTAGACAACCAAATTGCTCATTTTATACCAAATTTAATAGCAAAAAAGGATCGTACGTTTTAATCGTAATATATTATTAACATTATAACATTGTTTATATGTATTGAAGTTACAGTATGTTTCATTATAGAGAGAGGTTGATTTAACTACCACAAATTTCAAATATCCTAAAAATGTTTTTGGTGTTGCCATATGAGACTCTAAGCTACTACGCCAATTAACAATGACAGCTCTCAAATCAGTACAGTGTTTGTTGTGCAACGAAAACATTATTTCCGAACATTTTCATTCACGGTTTGAAGCCGTTTTTCTGCATTTGCATCCAAAAGGACAAAGAATGTCGATCACATCGACTGCTAAATACATTAAAAAGTCAAAAGGGTTCGTAATAAAGTGAATCCAGCAGTATAAGCATGAAAAAAAAGTGAACGACCAGCCCAATCTGAAGCCAAACTGAGCCTCCTCGCAACAGGAAGATAAACGGAGAGTCAAGTTGTTCGATAAAAATTTAGGTATGTTGTTGAGCCAAGGTGTTGAACGGCTACGCCGTCTTAAAATAGAGGTCTCGCGCTCTACTATCAGGAGAAGATTAGATGTTGCCGGTGTTTGTTATCGCAGTAAATTGAAGAAACCGCTTTTGACAGAAAACCAGAAGAAAAAGGCACTGACGGGGCAAAGCAAAATTCAACAAGAGATTGGAGCGAAGTTATATACACTGACGAGTCATTCTTTTGGCTGGTGAATAGCACTACCCATGCCTAGTCTAGAGCCCAAAAGAGAATGGTCGTTCGCACGGTAAAGTATCCGAAAAAGGTGCATGCTTATGGTTGCTTTTGTGAAGCTGGTTTTGGAAAGTTGACCATATTCACGGGGATTCCAAGCGCCGTGAGGATGAACCAACATTATTCATCGACACAGTTACCCATCGCTAAGAAGTTCTATGGCAACCACAATTCGAATTGGCTTCTATTAGAAGACAACGATCCAAAACACAAAAGTCGTCTATGCAATGCTTGGAAAGAGGAAAATGACATTAAACAAATGGACTGGCCGCCACAGTCACCCGATTGCAATCCGAACGAAAATTTTTGGGCTATTATTAAGGCATGGCTTCGTGGTAAAACATACCGCAATTTGAAGCAGCTCAGTTCATTCATTCAGCGCCAGTGGAAAGGTTTTCAAAGCGAATATGCTGAAAATTTGAGCAAAAGTATGCCGAATAGATGTGCCTGTGTGATCGAGAAGGCAGGAGAATGGATTAAATATTAATTTGTGGCGCCGTAGCTTAGATACTAAATAGAATGTATATAAAATAATTTTGTAAAACTCTTGAGTTTTATTATAAAAAATCAACCTCTCTCTATAATGAAACATACTGTATATTATAATATTAGATTATATTATCTTTTATATAAAACGAATGCTTATTGTCTTCAGTTTCAAAACCTAAATTATCAGACGAATTTGGTTATTTTTCACTCTGTTGCATACATTGTTTTTTTTTGGATAGGATAGATCCGTAAGATCTCCGCAAGAGATGGATCTTAGCGTGCGTACATAGCCGTATGATACGTGCATCGTTATAATATTGGTTGCATGCAATGAACACATACAATATATTCGCGTGTCGACGCACGATTAATTCCAGCTTTTGTTTTTTATGGATCTATCCTATCTTAAAAAAACAACGGCTTATCAATTTTTGCAATTTGGGTTTTTTTGAAATATGAATCATTTTCTACGAATTTTGATTCTCTTTCGCTTTGTATGAGGCTATTTTTGATTACATTCTGGGTTTTTTTAATTACAAGCCATAATTTGAATTTATCATGCTAAGGACACAAATAATCTATTATCAGTGAATGTATTGTGGCTGCCACTGTAGGAGTGCTATTTTCGAATAGACAGTCGAATGTAGACCCATTGATTTGTTTATATAAGGAATATCTAGGGGAGAGAAATCAATGCTAGTTTTTCTAGTTTATAGCTAATTTACTAGTTTATTGCTTGAATAATCTAACAATGCTAATATTCCTTTATGAAATTGCCAGTCATTACGTTTCGCCTATGGATATAGCTGCTGCTATATAGCTGCTGGATATTAAGTAGGCGCTGTGAATAGGAGCTATGTGACGCATGTGCGCTCGCCGCACGTCGCGTATGTTTTCCGTTTCTCCTTCACACCAATACACAACGACGTGCACAAACGCAAGCAGATGAATGACGTTTTCGTTGAAAAACATTATCGCTTGTGATGTGTTGAGCGAAAATTTTTAATCGCACTGCCAAATTCATAGGATTATTTATCTTTTAATGTTTTTTTAACTTTAATTTTAAAGATGTTCAAATTCACTCGTCAAATGATAATGTTGTGATGACGTGCGTTTGATTTTATTGGTATTGGTGATTCGATTGGTACTAATAAAGTGATATTTTTGTTACAGATTGTATCATAGCCACACATATTTTCACAAGATGAAATTGAGTGAACTATGTATGAGACGACAAACTAAATACACTATAACAAACCAAAAGACGACAAACGTCTTGTTCAAGGGGCAAACTACTTCACTTTCGTAATTCTTATAATTCAATCTAGTACTCCGATAATTCCAAAAAATTCTATATAATTCCATACAATGCCACATAATTCCAAACAGTTTTTGAAGTATTTTAAATAGTCGTTTATTTACACAGAATTTTTGTATGAATAATATTATTTCAACGATAATATTTTTCGATATTTTTTTAATTTTCATAAATATATTTTTATGCAAGTATATACAACCGAAACCAAACTATTTTATTGGCTTCATTTACTGAACGAATCGTTTCGAAAATTGTTTGCACTGCGATGTGTTGTACAATTTGCATAGCAGCGAAGTTGTATACTCATACATTCAAAGCATCGCTCTTCACGTACACACACATTGTCGTACAAATCATTTTCGGAACGTTCCCTTCGTTTCAATCACATACAAATGAAACCAATTCAAAATAACTCTCCGAAATCTGTAATAATAAGGGTTAACAGAAAAAAGGAAAAATGTAATTTCAAGCAAAAAAACGTCATTTCAAGCAGAGGCTGTTTCTCAGATCAATATATGTGAGGAGGAGCGCTCAGAGGAGCTGGGGAAGCACTGGAGAGTAGAGCTCCTCCTTACTAAGGACTCCTTACTGAAGAGCAAAATATTTAAAGTTAAAAAAAAATGATTCAAATTGATAGTATCATGATTTTAGAACGCCATGTTAATTACACACAATCGCACACAATTAAATCATACAAAAGTAAACAATTGAGCTTATAAATGACTAAATTAAAATTATATTAAAAGTGATAGGTGTCACGAATTATAACACAATTTCTAAAAAATATTGTGAATAAGATAACAATATGACGCAAAAACATATTTGAATGAGGTAGAAAAACTACTTCTCAAAAAATTCAAAATAGAAACGATACAAAACATTAGGTCATGACCATACAATGTTGCTAGCTAGCTTTTTATATCAGCTATTGCTATAGCGATATAAAAATAGCTGCTATTTATTTTATGTTAAACATTTCAAATCTAGCAACATTGTATGGTCATGATGGTTGATTGCAAAAAATGAAAAAATTTCATGTTCATAATATGATGTAACATGTAACTTATCAATGAAACTCGTTGTCATTATCAGTAAACCATTGATTTAATTCGCTTCAACACATTGACTAAAAAATTTGATTTATAAGTAATTATAAGGATTAGTTGAAAGAAAAGAGAAAAAACAAACAAACAAATCAACTCATTCACATTGATTGTTAATAACTTTTACTGTTATAATTTCCAAAAAAAGTATATTTTATGAGTAAAAAGCATCAAATACGTGATATACGTCACGTTTGTTCGCTATCAATTATACAATTTTGTATAGATCTACGATTTGGTTTTCACTCAAATTTTAAACAAGTAATATTCATACAAATTCGAATCTCCTGCTGAATCTGATTTTCTTCTAATAACCGTATGTTCGCTTTCATTGTAGTACATGGCATGTGAAAATGATCCGATCGCTGGAACATCCCAATAGATTTTGATTGTACTCTTAGTGAAATCTGAATTTTCGGTTAAAACGATTGAAGCCTCAGTGCCGGAAGGTACAAATGCTCTTCCCGACGAGCAAACACGCACTGTTTGTAATTCATTGACTGCCTTATTTGTTGGTGCTGAAATTTCATCCGACGTACCTATTGATTTATAATTTGGTCATTACATGCTAATTATATGCAATAAGCAATCAATTTTAAAATCAAACATTACCAGCGCCTTCCGTCCATTTTCCATACAAAATCTCACTACCGACAATTTTGTAATTTCCTCGCATCGACTTTATATCTGCACAATAATTTAGCGATTCAAGACGTGGCTGAATTTCTCGACATTTTACGAATGAACTAACACAAATGAATACCACTAGACAAAATATTCCGTTTGTAATGCGAAACATTTTCGATATTTTTTTCAAAAAATGTGATGAACAGAAATAAACGTAGATTTAAACCTTAACGTTATCGATTGTTACTGAACATTTTAAAGAATTCGACTGTCGACTTATATAAACGATACATATCTCTACTAACCACTCGAACTTCAACTTGTCGATTTCAAGTGGTTCGATCACTTGCCAGTAAAGCTTGGCAAGTTAGTAAAAATTTTTTTTCATTTCCAGATGTATGTGTATGTGATACAATATTATGAGGGATTTGATTCCTGCCATGGACCATATTTAAGCCTCATAATAATAATTATTATTAATTTCCTACCATTTTTTCCCCTATATCACATACAACAATAATTTTGGCATGAAAATTGTGACTGACACCAAGGTATCCTCACTGGTTAGCTGTTATATTTTGGCCCGATTCATCGTAATTACTTTACGTCATATTTCTAATTAATAGCGATAACTTCAAAATATTTTGTGACTCATACTCTATCTTGGAATTAAATAAGTCACAATATTTTTGATTCAATAGAAATTGATTTTTCTCTGCATTTTGGATAAATTTTAAAAATCAATTTGATACAAATATTGGATCGATGTTTAGTTGATCTGTGCTCTTTTCATGACACTCAAGTTCATTATTTTTGTCATTTTCTCATTGAAAATGTGTGAAAAATTGAAATGTGGTTTTCTACTTTGTGTTTCATTTCTTATTTATCATCGAAAAAAAAAACATCTCATTTCCACAAATAGTGATTTCAGTGAAAATGTCGCACATTTTTCAAATTTCAATTTGATTACATATATCTCGTATTTTTTCCTCTTTTTCTTCATTATTTTCTCCAGTTGTACGTTAAACAAAGAGAAAATGTATAAATCCAATAATAATTCAGTGTCAACGAATAAACTAATTAAAAAAGTTGTTTTGTTCATTGCAATGTCGCAAGAGCTGTATGTTACGTCATGCAGTAACTTATTCTGTTTCCATTGGTGAATTCATCGCTAATTTCAAAGAAATAAGGGGAGGTGAGGTAACAGCTTAGTCATAAATAAAGTGACAATTAAATTAAAACGAAAGCACAAAATATGAGTGTTTGCCAGTTGGAAACATTTTCTCACGTAGTTACACGAAGAAGAGTAGCAATAGCACGTTTGTTTCTCCAATTTTACCGAAAACAGAAGAAGAATAAAAACGAATCCATCGAATGACACACAAGAGGTAAAGAAAATGAAGATTTGAGAATAAAACTAATTACTTACCTCTAACCCTATTTTGAACACATATACTTACATTGCGAGCGCCGTTGACGCCACCCTTTTTAAAATGTGAATTTATTCATTTCTTTAAGACTTTATTCGTTTGAAATGGAAAGAACTTTGTATAAAAAAAAACTCTCAAATTGTTTTTTTTTTCTCTAATTTATTATCGTCCACATTGATTATATATATTGTGGGCGCGAGTTGTTTCTTTACAATCAATATTTATGATACATTCATATATGTGAGTGTGTGTGTGTGAAATGTGACTTAATTGTAACAAAGTTTTGTTTACTTATTTTGATAAAATTGTTAATATGAATGTTGCGTTACATTTTTTTGTTTAAATTATATTTTCGTTCACATTGCAATTGCATCGTTTTAACTAATTTTAACATATCTCGCTTTCAAATCCAATTGAAATGATTTATTATAACAAATTTGCAAAATATTTTTCACAGAGACGTCCAATTAATTGCTAACTAAAAAAATAAAACATATAGCTCTTTCTCTTCTCATAATTCTGTCATTGTGGTCGTCGTTTTAAACTGAAAATCGTAGTGGATGCGCTTAATGTACGTCAAGATTTTCTTCAGCTCAATTCTCTGCTTTAAGCTAAACATTCAATAAATTCTTTTAGTACGTTTTTTTTTGTGTTCAAATAAAGCGATTCAATATGTCATTTTTTTTCATCAAATTTCGTTACTTTTGATTTTTGTCCATGAAAAAATTCGGTAATTTTCAAATGATTAAGCCAAAAAAAGAACGTTACTACTTTTATAAATTTGATAATTAGGCAATTAATTTACGTTTTAAAGAAATGCATCCGATGATTGTGTCTGTTTATTAGCGGAAACACAGAAATCGTGTCATTCGTTTTCAGTCGACAATCGCGACACAGTTTCACAGTTTCTTAGCGAGGAAGTAATTGCAAATGAGCGTTTTCTTGACAAAGCCTACTGATTCGTTTATTATTCACCATTTATTTTCTTCTTACAATTAAAGAGACTTTTGATGTATGATCTTCTAAATGTATTTTGTTAAGTTGGTAAATGTACATACTGGAAATAGAGTCGAAATGTAACATATATAGCAATGCATGATTTGATCCGCTGATTCACAGAGAGAAATGATCGGAAAATCAACATTTTCTCTTTTAATTTATGATTTACCATTGATATGCTTGTTTTTGTCAAATTTGTTGCATTCCACACAAAATGTTGTCGTTACACAAACATTTTGCTTTCATCCATGCCATTCTATTTGTTTCGATCGCCTTTTTTTTCTCTTTTTGTTATGCATTTCATGTAGAATACTGAGAATACATGTATATTTTGTTTAAATAACGAGATTCATGACTAATAACTTTAATACTTTTTTTTACAATTACATTCAGTTCAAGCCGTTGAATCGAAAATTTGTTGGACATTTCACACGGTTTCCATTGCATTTTTTTCGTCGGTGTATTTTGTTTTATATGGATAAATATTTGCTGAGAAATATGATCTTTTTTTTGTTCTTTTTTAATATGTTTTCTCCATTTACATATTTCTTCTTTTTTTTGTATGATTTATTTTGAAATGTGAACTTATTCAAAATAGGAACAATTCACATTGAAAGAAATAACTCCTCTATGTTATTACCTATTTATCTCGTAAATGTTTGAATATGATTTTTGTATTAACTTTCGAAAATCTGCAGAAAAATATTGAACAAAATAAAATTCCAAATGAATCTGAAGTATTCATAAATCATTTAACCAAGTATTTATATGATGATTAAAAAGACAATGAATGTTTTTCAAAAAAAAAAGAAGTCCATTGATGTAACAAAATATTGATTTTAAGTTATTAAATTACAAAAAATAACATATTAATAGTTACATTCTTGGCATTTATAAAAAGAAAGCCCAGAAAAGTACGAAAAAATAGAATCGATGAATATATGGACTTGACTCTATGTGCAAATAAAATCGACCGATCAACTTCCGAACTAAACGGATGACTAAAGTCACCAATCGACGATCATTTTGACTACAATAAGTTCGAGTTGATAATATTATAATTTCATGAATGGGGGGATGGTATTTAAAAGCGCATACATCAAACATTTGAATTTTATTCATCGAAGAAGTTGCCCAGTCACTTTTGTTTTTCAGTGCTCATTTCTGGCTAAATATCTATTTTTATCTGACTATCCTCAAACATTCGTTTACATTGCTCGGTCACCGTGATGGTACAGATACATGTAACTACTTGTTGTTTCATGTAGTAGTAAAAAAAACTCAATGTCAAACACACCAAAGTGACTGTTGTTTTGTATGACATTAATACTAAAATACTATCGACTTTTATTTTCCGGGGTATTAGTAATTTGTGACTTCAATATTAGACGGGGATTAGGTGTTGAATTTACAAATGTGTATGTTCTTTTGCATTCTTGAATATGTTGCCAGGAATGAGCACTGTTTTTCTCACAAGAGTATCTCATGATTTTGGGTAGACATGGAATATGGCTCTACTTAATAAGATTGTGTATGTTTTTTTTTTAATTAATACGTTTATACCATAAATTGCCATTAACTATAACATTAATTATTTTTTTTCTTTCTTTTTAATATGTATAATATGTGTGGATTGTGTCGTATAATTTTATAGACTAAATAGATTAATTACGTTTTAAATGGTTTCAGAAAAAAAAAAACGAAACATTTTTCGTGCGTGCCGGAAATACGTATGCGATTCATACAAACTTTGAGTCTTTTTCAATCCATATAACCATTTGACTGAAGTTTTTTTTTTCATTTCTAACTCCTTCTTCATATGCACACACCTTTTCACATTTTATATCTTTTATTTTAGTAATAATAATATTAAATTTATTTTGATTTCAAATTTCTAAATTCTAAAATCTATTCTCATATGCGTTTGATATGAAACAGTTACCCTCAGATATATAGTTATTAAACCTTACGTAAATCTAACAAAAAATGAACCTACCAAATTTTATGTCCGATTCTCATATTTCGTTCTCCGTTTAATTTAAAAGAAAAAACGACCATTTTACGATACAAAATACACTCCAAATAAAATATCGATCTAACGAACTAAAACGCTTACACTTCAATCAATTCGAAACAAATTTAAAATGAACATCCCGCCGAATTGTCAATTTTGACTAGAAATTATACAATGACATAAATGAAAATTCTACACATTTTTTTTTCGTGAATCAATTTGGCCGTGAAAACTCTTGAGTGAGCTTGATTTCGAATATTATTTGTTTACAGCTCATTTAAGAAATGGAAATTCGCTTTTTCCTCTTAATTAGAAAAACCAAACTTATGATTATTTGAATGACATTCTATAAACGCAAAATTACAGTTTGACGAATTTTCCCAGTTTTTGTTTCGGTTTCACTTTACTTTACATTACATTTTCAAATAAATCGAAATATTCCACAGATCGTATCAGATTGTTTAATGAAATTTAATTTTATTTTTCCCTCAATAAAATGATTGCAATTGAAAATGAACATTTCAGTTTCAAATAAATAAGCATCGTCAAACTGTGCAAATGCCATCAATATTCAAATATTCATTGATCTATTATGTTGAACATTGTATTTTCAAATTGTTCGTTTCGTACATTTCATTCTAAATATGTATCGTTAAATGTTTGATCCTTTGTAGCTTGCATAATGCACTGCGTAATTCATAATGCATTTTGCATTCGGTGGCAAAAATTTTTTGTTGCGAAACAAATGGAATCAATTGAGTGTATGTGTAGTTCTTTGATTCGATATATATGGTTTATTGTTATGCCGCAATTTGGTGTGTGTGTGTGTGTGTTTTTCCCACAGAACTAACTGCTGTCATCGATGTCGGTGGAGAGTATGCATATGGAGTAAGGCGAGAGCCGAAATGCGCATGATGAAAATTAACCGGATTAGCAGTGCACAAGAAGCGATTGATCGATCCGATTTCTTATCGAGCAGTCTCATCATTTTCTTTATCTAGTTACTTTTTATGGCTTTGCCGTGATGTGTATGCGCTACATCAATTGCGTTTATAATACACGAACGCACCAGTATCTACTCTTCTGTCGATGTTTTACAATTGCTCACATTGTTTCAAAGCGATGGTGCGTCGCTTCTGCACATCACACATATTACTTACGCTAAAATGATTTTGATTCAGAGACAGTTTTTTCCGCTGTGCCGATAATCGGCCCAAGATACAAATGGTGATTTTGGGATGAGATTGTTTTATTTCGATTTACTCCCCCATCGCAAATAGAAATCACATTGGCCAATGCAAAGAAAATGACAATATTTAACGACATTTGTAAATACTTACAATACTTTCATTGTCTTGGTTTTTTTTTTTTTTTTGCATCAATTTTAAATTTATCGGGGTTTTTTTTTTTTAAATTTTTTTTTTTTTTTTAGCTTCATAAATATAGTTTGTGATAAATTCACATTTTATATACACACAGGCAACCTCTCTCTCATTCTCCGTGTGCATTTTGAACGCTGCTCTCCTTTTTATCGCAACACACAAACACCAACAATCAAATTATTTCGATTTCTGGGGTTTCACACGGTGTGTGAGTCATCGTTTTAAGTACGTGTTGATGCATTGACGCCACTTTGGTTTGATGTGATGGTTTGATTTAATTGGCGTCTCGTTTAAATAAATTTGATATAATTTGCTGATGTTTATGCATTTGTTGCTCGTACTGCTGTGGTGTCAATTGTGGACTGAATGGATGCTCATTCATATCCATCGATCCCATTGGTAGTGATTCCATTTTAACGCCAGACGAAGCAATCGCACCATTTAAAGTTGAGCTACATTAAAAAATGTGTACGGAATAGGAAATTTTGCATTCGATTTTTATTAAATCATCAATAATGCATCACTTTTGAAAAAAAAAAAAATTGTTTTGGTTTTTGCTTTGTGATAAAAGATGAGTTGAACAATTGTTGTCTAATTGAAACATCATGTTCATCTTTATTTCATCGCAAACATACTCTTGATCTGCCAATTCTTAATCTCGTTGAGTAAAAAAAATCATTAAACTTACATAAAATCAAAGCGATTCAGATGTGGTATTGGTGATCGTCTTGGGCTGGCCGAATGGCATCTCATTTTGTCCGATCTCAAATGTTGATGATGATTTGCGAGAAAAGTCTCATCCAATAATCTCGGTGGGCATGGCCAAAAATTCTAATTTTGGTTTTGATTTGGAAGATTTTGTTTTGCTTAACAACCAAATTCGCTTTTGATAGTACATATCGAATCAACTTACCTGTAAATTCGTTTGGAATGCATCCTTTGGATACAATGCTGACGATGGATTTGGCAACCTAAATAAATAATTACCAACAACAGAAACAAAAAAATCAGACTTTTTCAACGAAGTTTTTTTTTCTTTCATTTTTGTTTATATATAATAAAACTAAGTATAAGATAAATCGTATAAATGAGAAAAACTGATGTCAATCCAGTGAATTACATATCGTTGTCGGTGTATTTCAATGGATATTTATCAGCATATGAAAGGAGTATTAAATTGAAAGTTGAAAAAAAAAAACAATTGAAAGCGAGTTAAAAATAGAACTTTTGAAAAGTTTAAGTTTTTAAATAGAAACTAGTTATAATAAAAACTAGATTAAACGGAATTGTAAAAAGTTAAGCAAATAGGAAAAACTGTTTAAAAAGTTTAAAAAAAAGTTTAAAAAATTCAATGAAGAAAAATGTTAGAAGAAAAATACAAAAAATTGATTAAGAAGAAAACGTAGACACTTAGATTGTTTTGAGAGAAAAAAAAAACATGCAGAAGAATTAAGAATTCGAAGAAGATTTTGAAAGAGTTTATTAGAAAATGTGGAACAGGACAAAAAACTACTTCGGTTGTTAATAAAAACATCAAAACGACAAGAAATAAGAAACGACAACAATGACATGCAAGAAATTCGAACAATTGCTTTTTGATGGAAAGGCTAAAAAGTGAGTAATATTTGATTTACTCATCGTTCATGTGACGGAACGATTTGGCCAGCCAGATACAAGAAACATGTAATTAAAACAAACAACTCTACGAAACAACAACAACAACAAAAATGAATACGTCAATCAAATGGCTCTTGAGAACAGCGCTTTTAGAAAATGCGGGTGAACAGCATGCATCACAAACATGTCAAATTTTCATCAACAAAATTGAATTATGATTAGAATCGTGCATGTGAATGAAGAAAATAAGCGATGTACGAATGTGGGTAATTCTTTTTTTATAATAATAATTATGAGAAACTTTGGACCGAGTTTTCAGTTGTAGACTTTAATATCGATTTTTCTTTAAATATAATAATACATGTGTTTTGTTCATCAGTACTTTCACTGAGTCTCAAGCCTAGAACTACAAATAGAACTAGAAACAGGACACTTTATATAACAAAATGCTATTTGTTTCAAATGAATTTTAACTTAGAAGCCAATTATCAATTAACATCGTCGATTGCTTATTCATTTAATTCCATTTTTTCGTCTGTTTATTAATAACAATTTGCCAAAGATGCTTTCTTTATAGTTTTTTTCCTATGTATTTTGAACTACAAAGAATGACTTAATTTATCTAGAATAATTTTTATTTGTTAGACACTTTTTGATTTGACTCGACCCCAAAGTTGCATGACCTACCTAAAAAAATTAAAATTGAACAAAACGAAAACGATGTCTAGCCAAAATGAGTCTTGAAGCGAATTTTGATGGTGATGATGAAATTTCATAAACTGTTTTCAGTGTTTTTTTTTTAGAAACAATTTTAGTTTTGCGTTTAACATAGAGCTGCATATTCTGATGTTGTTATTTGTTCAGGGGCTAAATGTCGATAATATGGAACATTTTATGTGATCTCATCAAACAATGGTAATGTAATATGAGTGAACAAAGAAAATGAGCACTTAAACAATCTAGAGCAAAAATTATTCGTATGAAACGAAGTGCTGTGTATTTGTAACATGAACATTAAAAACTACACTAAACATTAAACAATGATTAAAATTGCTTGAATTTTTTTATTGAATGCAAAGTATATAACTTGAACGAATGGACGAAAATGCGACAAAAAATGTATTGATTGTTCGGAGAAAACCAAATATGTCATCCCATTTATGAAATAAGATCAATTTACAAAAAGATAATTAAAATACAATTCGATTTGATTTTAGTTTTTTTTTTTGACGATTCGACGATTTCGTGTATTGTTCAACGAATCATCATCGTCATCAAAGTAATATGCGCAAACAAACCAATGAAACCTTATTAGAATTAAAAAAAAAAATCAAACAAGAAACTAGCTGTTTTTACCACTAAACTGCTGTCGAGTATTTTATTTGACATACAAAATGATTGCGAACGTTGCAATTTACAGAATCAACAAATCATAAATAAAATAGTAACAATTAGATTATTTTGTATAGCAAGCTTACGTAAGGCTCTAATTTTGATTTTGTTCATATTCATTCAAATTTGTGGAGATTTTTTGTGTTTTTTTTTGTATTTGTACAGTTGTAGCCAATTGAATTACTCAGTTCGGGCACAAGCGAATTGACGAAATGAATAGAAGAAAAGCCTTGTGCAAAAACTGTTCTGAATGCTTTTGAAATTTCTGATTGCCCCCATAAAAATGGGAACGTTTCATTTTGTTCGTAAAGTTTTACGAAAATATTCGTCGGGTGTTCGCGATGTTTATGTAGTTGTGCGTTTTCTCAAAGTATGTTTTTTTTTTTAATCGATCGACACGCGCGATGTCGATCAAACCAAAAATTAAATAAAATATTGAGACAAATGACAATTTAGTGTGTGATTTTGTTTGATTTTGCTTACTGTGTAGGAGGCACCGGACTTGAAAAATAATGATGATTGATGCCATTGCTCGGTTGTCCTAAATTCGTTGTTACATTTTGCATGAGATGTGTTGCATTTTGTTGCATTGCATTCGAATGATCGTTATATTTTGACGATGCCGACGATGATGATGCACCATGCGAACCAGACGGCACTTTTGTGTGGTGCTGTTGTTGCTGTTGCTGCTGCTGCTGTTGATGATGTTGTTGCTGTTGTTGTTGTTGCTGCTGTTGTTGATTTGGATTTGATGACGATTGATTTGGCGATTGTTGTGATTGTGACTGGGCTGATGAATGATCTTCCGCTGTTGATGGATCATATTTGCGTGGTCGACCCCTGGACAAATGGCGCCGCTTCACAAATTCATTATCGTCCACCTTTTTATGTTGAATGTATAGTTACGCCATTGCAATATATTTGGTGGTTCGATAAGTCTTTGACCTGACATCAGGTGATGGCGACACCGATCAAAAATTCTCTTCGTTTTTGAAAAGTATCATCTGTTTTTAAAGTACTGAAGACATTTCAGGTGAATCTGTTCACGAACACATGAGTTACAGCGATTGCAAGAGACCGACCTCAAAATATACCTTAATTGATGATTTTTCCGCCATGTTTCCGCCATATTTAGAATTTGTTTACTTTTTGGGGCTATGTCGACTTTTGATAGCCGTATAGCCCTACATTGATTTATAGATGGGATAGATCCGTAAGATCTCCGTAAGAGCTAGATAGAGCGGAGTACACCGCCTTTGGGTGCTCCTCTTAAGTATTCACTTGAGAGTCATAATCTTTCAGCGCGAATTTGTGATTTAGTCGTATCAAGGTGTTCACTTTTCTTTTGATTGTTCAACCATGTACAAAACGAATAGAGAACATAATAAACAGCTCCAGTAGACAGGAGAGAGTTCAAACAATACCACCAAACTTAGCTTTAGCTTCGTTGGCGGATTTATCATATAAAAATTGAAGTTTATTCAAGGGATGAAATTCGATTTTTCCCTCTCTCAGAAAAAAGTGAAAGGAGGTCTCTTTCAAGGGCCGTGAACTTGTGGGTCCGTGAACGGATTCACCTTATATTTCTTCAGTAGTCTACGTGTAGAGTGTGTTCACAGATGGCGCTTGTCAAAAACTATGTGAATTTTTGATTTGTGCACACAGAGAAGTAATACAATGAAAACTAGATGACTTGTCGTATAAAATGTGGAACTAGTTGACACTCCGTATAAAATTGTATTTTTCCATCTAATTTCATACCAAACATCGTTTTTGTGTATTCTCTTTTATGCGGATCTTCTTCAAAGCATAAACGGAGAAGAACCGCACAAAAGAGAATACACAAAAACGATGTTTGGTATGAAATTAGATGGAAAAATACAATTTTATACGGAGTGTCAACTAGTTCCACATTTTATACGACAAGTCATCTAGTTTTCATTGTATTACTTCTCTGTGTGTGAAGAGATCAGACATTCAAATACTTTGTCAGATCAAGACTTGGTGAACCACCGAATAGATTTCGATATAGAGTCTATAAAAGGTCCAAAAAAGTCAACTTTCCATCCAAAATGAGCCAAAATCGTCTTCATATCGTACGAAGCATTTATGCAGCGACAGGTTCGTCCGGATCGCATTCTACGGTTATTCAATCAGTTTTAGCATTGATTTTCTATGTGTTAAAGATTCATTTGCCATTTCATGTTGACTGTACAAGCCATTTATATGAAATAGAAACGTTATTCGCAAATATTTCCCTCAAATGTCAAAAGCTCAACACATCTGCTTCAGCTGAAACTCATTTCTATTGTACACTCTCTAAATACAGCAACTGCTCCTATTCATCGCGTAATTCTTTATCATTTGAGATTGCTTCCATTTAAACAAAGAGAAATTTATACTGAAAAATCGCCTATAATAACAAAGATAACCCCAACAAAATAATTCCTGTCAAACCATATCGCCCAATCATCGACAATCTTGTGTGAAAACTTTGGCTACTCGATACACACACATCGTTCAAACAAATCAAAATTGACAAATTTGTCTTCAATTCAGATTATTATTCATTTTGGAATGCAATTTGTGAATTTGTGCGTATTAGTTCTAAATAATTGTGTGTCAGTGAAAATTACAAGAGACGTTTGAACGAAAAAAAATCAAAAATATCAAATGAAGTCAGTGTAAACCAAAGGCAAAATATTTATCCATAAAATCACACTCACATACACTTTCACATCAATCAACTGCCATGAACAAAAGAAATAACGAAATGAAAAAAGAGAATACTTTAATTACTGAAATCACGTTTAGTTCAAAAGAAACCACTCGTTTATCATTGAGTTATCAGAGTTAGTTAGAGAAAACTAAATGTTGTTAGAAAAGATATGTCAGTTTCAAATATATTGTGTAAGCACTAAGGAAAATAAAGAACGAAAAAGCTACGGTGAAAATTTAAAATACATTTCATCTAATTTAACTTACTTCTAGAATAGTACAATTAATTTAAAATGTAAAAATCGTAGCAAACTCGAATGAATAAAATAGCTAAGAAAGTCGAAAATGTAAAAAAGAAACCAAGCTTAGAATTATAAAAATGAGATTTAGAAATGTCTATGGAAAATCGAAAAAAGTGAATAAAAAAATCCACAAAAATGAATGTATTCAAAAAAAAACTATTCAATGCGAAGTTTTTTCTAGAAAAATTGGAAGAGAACATGAATCATGATGAATGAAATAATCGTTTATTTAACTTGAGATATAAGGTTTACTCATGTACATATCGAATACTAGTAGTGTTTTGTATGTACGGGAATGATCATTGGAAGCTTTAAACATCTATCATCGGTTGAGAAAAATATTCATCGAAGAATAAATATAATACTGATCAAGAAAGGAAAACAAAAGGAAACTGTAATACTTCGCATTGATTTAATTTAACTACGAAAACTAAAAAGATGGACAAGTTCAAAAGATTTGAAAGTTAGAGTTTAAAAGAAGTTAAATTGAAAGAAGAAAAGAGAAAGGAGGATATACTAGAATGTATCAGACTATTCGATATTGTTCAAATTTCTACAAAATAGCAAAATTTGCTATTTACACTCTGCTATAAGTGTAAAAAGAAAATATGTCTATTTAGTATTTACACGGTGAGTATATTTTCGATTGACGTTTCTTATGTGTTCAGTTCAGTTTGGTGTCAACTATCACAAGATCAAGTCATGCCATAATCAGTCTAATTTAAAATTATGAATCAATTTTTGTGAAATTAATGAACAAACGAATAACAAAAATAATTTTGACAACGTGTTTTGATTGTGACGTTTTAATAACCTCACTTTATTCATATGGCGTTTATCTGAAGTTTTATGATGCTATGATGTATTTGCAGCGCTCGATCCTCGGATCCTTTACACCAAAATGAACTGAACAGATGCAAAACAGAAAGTCCTTTCAGTTGACGTTTTTTGGAGAAAAGTTTAAAAAAATTGGACCAACCAACACGTTAGGCGACGCCACTGACGAAAAAATATTTCTTTTCGCCTTGTAAGTAAAAGTATAGGAATAAGGTCCTATTGATGCAAACCGTCAATCTATATCATATAAAATATATGTATGCCGGGTAATTATCGGGAAATTTAGTGAAAATAGCAAAATATGCAATGTTGGAAGAATTTAAGTGTAAATAGCCATGTATTTTCCCAATCGAATTGATAAATCGTTTCAAATACTTGAAAAATCAATTGGTAAGTTCTAAAGCATTCAGCTTTTAAAGCAAACTAGGCCAAAAAACCAATATCTTGGAATAAACCAACATTAATTTTGCTTATTTTTTTCTCAAAGTCTGATAGATTCGCTCAAAAAAGTAGAATTTGGAGATAAGCAAACGACACTTGACAAGTCTTATACTTAAAAAGAAGTTTTCTTACAAAAATACCAGAAAAAGCTCCTTATATTCACTCGGTGCCAGACATTCTACTGAGATATTTTCAGCCAGCTGTGTAACCATACAAATCCCTAGGGAAAGCTTTCATTGTTTTCATTCCATTTCCGCACCTGGCGTTAGCTTCTTCAGCTGGCTGAAAATATCTCAATATAATGTCTAAAAATACAGCTGCACTTCGCGTGAACTTTATGTAAAATTACAATTTCACCTGACTTTCAAGTATCGTTTGTATAAAAATACATTTAGATGAAGTAAAAAGATGTTATTTTGAATTTCGAATAAAATGTAAAGTTTAATGAACTGAACCAATAGTATGAGTATCGAAACATGCATAAAAAATTCTAAATGAAAAATAAGATATAAAAAATAGGTGTCAATTCAGCTGGAAAGTGTAGTTTTTATTGTGGCAATATTTTTATCGCAACAAAAAAAACGCAACAGAACCCAATTGAATTTCTTGTAAAAGGAGAATATATTTTGAATAGTTGAGTATACCAGAAGATAAGAAATATAACTTTTTTTTAAAAGTGAAATGAAAAAAGGATTTAATATATATCAGTTGAATATTAAGAGATTTTGCTTATATCCAGAAATGGAAAAGATTTTGAAGGTATTGCTACGAATATGAAAGATTTTTAAAAATGAATCGTCATGAATAAAGTTAGTTGTGAGTCTAATGGATGGCTAATCTAAGACGTTGACAAAATAGTAAATATATATATATATATATATATATTTGTGAGTGTGTAGTATATTATTTGGTTGGTTAGTCATTAGTTGTATATAGTTTGTGTAATTTATAAAATGAGTGAAGGTGTTAATATGAAAAAAGTTCATTAAATTTCAGTAAAGTAGGTTTTAGAAATAAAATTATCGAAACATAAACGATTTTAGTTAAAAATGTTCGAAAAAGAGAAAATAGATTGAAAGTTCTTTGGAAAAAAACCCGAATAATTATAAAAAATGATAATTTTTGCGACCACAAAAAATATGTCATCACATTTTTGTAGGTCGAAAGTCATCATTCGTCATAACAAAGTAAAGTTTGAACAGTACGTTTTTTTAAATAAATTGTATTTCGAGTAACTGGAATAGTTGTTACGAAAAAATAGAGATTGAAATAGAAGTAAAGTAAATAAGTGTCGCACCTCTGATATCCGCCGGTCGTTTTCAAATGTAGTGCTGCGGCAGCAGCAACTGCCGACGATAGGGCCGCATTGGTGGATACTTTTTGATTTGATTGAAATGCAGCAGCGGCCGCTGCGGAAATCGGAACTTTACCAAAATTTGTGCTCGAATCGATTGGTCGTTGAAAATTTTGGACCATTAAATTGGCCGACGATGATGCATTTAATGTTGAGTTGCTGCTGCCGCCGCCGCCACCACCTCCACTGCCACCACCCACGTTGTTCATCTGATTGCTGTGACTTCCGACACTTTGACTATTTGCCGACGAAGACGAACTACTCGCCCCGCCAGCACATCGTTGCGGACGACGTTTATAAAACTCAATTTCATCGACAGTCCAAACGGCTCCCTTCACATTTTCCACTCTCATAAAGCATTTATGCAACGACAAATTATGCCTAACTGCATTCTACTCAATTCAGATCGGGTTTTTATGTTTACAAATCAATTGATTAAGATTTGTTTGTTTTTTTTTGCCAGAGGACATTTCCAATTTTAGATTGAGATTTTTTTTTTTGTTTCGTTTAAATTCGATTTTGAATAAACAGAAAATAATAGTTAAAATGTGTGCTTTTAAAATGTTAAATCGATTTCGTTCGATTAAATTAAATCAAAATTTATTGTTAAAAAAAGTATCAACTGAAAGTCACTAATGCAAAACCATCAACTCTGATGTTCATGAAACACTGCCTTTGATAACTACTCAAGAACTATTTATCTTATTTGCTTTCCGCTCAGATTTTCTTCTAATTCATCTTCTTTTTAATGACTATTAATTTGCCTATTTTAAGTTGAAAATTTGAAACTATCTATTTGAACTATCTTTGAATTGAATTAGAAAACTAGATAATGGAAATTAACAGCAGCAACAGCTTTGTGTCGTTGGCATTTTGTGCCGCATTAATTTTTTTTGTCTCCTATTTGAGAAATGTTTTTAAACCCCACGAATTTTTGTATCCTCTTTTAAATACCGTTCTTTTTCTTAAAGAAAAAATATATCTTGAATTTTATGCAAAATGTTCTCCTATTCGCACAGAAATTTCTCGTTTTTGATCGATATAATCGCATTTCCCCTATTTAATGACCACACCTAAATAATGGTATCCCTAATCTAGACCCATCTCTAATCTCGTAATCTCGACATTGACGTTTTTTTTTTCATCGTTACAAGTAATTTTCGCAAAAGTGAGTGAACATTTTGAAATGTCCAAAAGAGAGTGTATAAATGGAGCATTATAAATACCTTCCATGTGGCTGCATTTCGTCGAAAGTAGCAAAACGTGTTTTGAAACCAATTGTAAATTTCATTTAGCGTCAATTGTTTGTCCGGTGACTCGATGATTGACTGGAATGAAATTGCAAGAGAATGCAAACAAATTTTGCGCAATCGCTTTTGATTAGTTGGACGGCATTTTAAACATACTAAGTATTGTCATTTTACTAATATGTCAAACAAAATGTTTCGCCAAAGAAATCTGTGATAGAAAGCATTCTAATGTATTATGACAATTGATCCATTTGGCTTTATTCAACTGACAAAAAATTCAGCTGGAGATGGAAAATTATCGTTTTCCAAATGAAGTTGGACATTTTACGAAATGATTTGAACATTTTTGTTTTGTTTTGATGACATTTGCAGATAATGTTAAAATCGGTCCAACAACTTTTGGACAAACGACAATTATCAATATCATGCTGAACTTTTTATAGATGTATTTTTCTTAAGCGGCAAAGTGTTCGAAGAGAAAAAAAATTGAAAAAGTGTTGGAAATTGAATTGTAAAAATGTGCAAACGACTTATTTTCAAATGAAAGTGTTTCAATGTTTATCAAATTCTGTGTCTATGCTCTATCAAGCCTGCATCAATCTTTAAAACTATAATTTACCTGACGAATCAGCGATGCATAGGTGAATGGAGGTCTGACATCTGCATTTTTGTAGAATTCTCGGTTTCGTTGTATTTCTGTTATTGTTTTTTTTTTTTTGGTAAATAAATGGCATTCAAAAAGAAATATTCAACATAAAATAAGTAAGTGACTAATAGTAATAACAATTACAAATAAAAATGAATTCAACAACATTCAAAAAGAAATTAAAAGCCAAATAAAATGATAAGAAGAGATATGTGTGTTTTTCTTTCGTGAATTTGTTTTCCGCATCATTATTCGCTAGCATACAATTCGCGAATGCATTTACTTGCCCCGTGAGGGAGTGGTCAATGATAATGTATTACTTTCAAGGCGTAAACTATGTGCGATAACTGACAGTCTGACTGCAAGAAAATTTCACTTGAAAATTCAATCGCTTCCAATATTTTATCGAGCAAAGTGCATGTTCACGATATGAATGCTAGAGTCAAAAAATTGTTCGAATGTTTATTTTTATCTTCAACCAATAGCGGAAGCAAACGGAAAGATTAGTTTGATCAAAGTTCGAAAGTTATTGATTTGTTGAGTAACGAAAAAAAAAAAATGAAGAAGAAAGAAGTGATGTAATAAAATGCGTATAGTTTTTCAGCTTCATAGATTCTGACCTTGTTGAACGTCAAGGCCGGCTCGTTCAAGCATATATGGTAATCCTTTTCGATGTGTAAGTATCAAAAATGTACGAAAAGAGAACAAAAATAAATTGGCATAAAGATTAGTACATTACTATATGTTTAAGAGAGAAAATTGGTTTGGTATGTAGGTTAGTTGGCAATGAAATGAAGAAAAAGAATAAGTTCTTAAGAAAATTGATTGCACTGATTGAAAGTGAATGTGATTTTGAAAGTGAAACGAAAAAAAAACAAAAAACGAAGACGAAAAAAAATTTAAACGAAAAATAAATTCTATACCAAACGCACCACCTGCTAATGAAAGTGACGATTTATTGCTCATTTGACGGCGTAATGGGATGTTTGTGCCGAGAATACCAGGCGAATGGCTCAACGACGATGTTAATTTTGACGTTGGACTCAAATATGGTGACATGCTCATTTTTCTACTGCTAAACTCTCTATTGCTTGTACTGTTTTGATGATGATGATGGTGATGATGATGATGATGACGAGACATTTGTGATGCATCCAACTGATCGAAAATGCAATTTTCATTGTTGGCATTATTTGGTGAATCATGTTGCTGTGACGGCGGCTGTAATGTATTCGACAAACTTGCCAAATCACCAACACCTATAAATAAAACAGTCGATTTTCGATTTGGTCTTGGTTTTCGTTTCAATTCTTTATGTTGATCCAACTGTTTTAAGAGTGTAAAGCTAAAGAAAATGTTGATGGTGTGTTACTTACCATTGTCCTGCGGTTGTCGCGTCGAATCTAAATGCTGTTTTGATAGGTACAAATGATGCATCATCGCTTGAAGTCTGTCTCTCTCCTTTTGCAATTGTAATTCTAATTGTGATACAACTTGCATTTGAACGCGTGCCTGTGCAATCGAACGATCGTCCAAATTGTGTTCGCCATTTAAATGTTTGACGAACGATTGTTGCTCATCAAAAATGGCTTCACAACCAGGCCACTTGCAAATACCATTGCCATACAATGGATGCTCGGTCACCGAAACCGGTGACATCGATGACGCCGATAATACCGGCGACTTGTCCACATTACCATCATCCATATCGTTGTAATTCATCGAAAAACCGTTGCTATTACCCAGACCCAATATCGAATCGGCTATCGTAGTACAATCTTGTTGAGAGAATTATTGAAAGAAAATACAGATTCATCATCTTGGCTAACATTTCAAGTAGTCAACATTTGGCAGTAATTCGATTTTTCAAATGTTTGTCGTTGTATTATGTATTTTGTGACACGTTTTTTTTCTCACACAGATATTCAAATTGAAATAACTTAACGGCAATTTCTGATTTGAAATTAATAAAAAAAGATTCTAACTAACCTTCAGTTTTTATAACTTCACTATTGTTATGGCTATTGTTACTCCCGCTAACATTATTATTGTGGTTACTGCTATTGTTGTTAGTGTCATTGTTGTTCTCATTTTCTGCCACTGAAATTATACGTTTTCCAAATTTAAAATTATATACATAAATAATTGGTCCAACCCACAAATTAAAAAAAAAATCGAGTTTCTTTTTGAATGCCAAATAAAAAATCACAGCATCAATGGTCATTAATATATGAAACATGTATTAGGCAAATCGACACAATATTTAAATAGCTCCAAAATACTTTAATTTTTTTATTAGAGCTTATTTTGAAAATTTAATGAAGGTCAATTTCACTTTGAATGATCAAGTACAGTGCTAATTATAACTATAATCTAGTTTTCACTATTAAAACAAAAAAAGCTCTATAAACTAACCGTTTTGTGCTGAAGTCGTAGCGGGCGCTAAATAGCAAAATAATGAAAAAATTGAAAAAATCGATTTTGATACAATTACTAGTATTCATTGAATTGTCATTTCAATGTTTGAAAGATAATTTGAATTGAAATGAAACTCTTACCTAATTTACTATCACTATCATCTCTATCGTTTGCATCAGTTTCATTTAAATTCGTATCATTTTCACCGGTTGCGCAAATATCGTCGTTGCTATCTCTACGCTTTTTGCCCACATTAACATTTGCATTTGCCGCATCACCACTATCAACATTTGTGGAAATGCTATTGAGGCTACCTAAAATTATTGGTTTACTATCAATTGCTTCTTTATCGGTATCGTCGATATTGCCATTCTCAATGGATCCATCATCGTCCTTGTAGTTAATCGCTGCTTCGGACCTTGTTTCAACGTCATGATAATCTTGATCTTCATCAATTGGTTCAACTTTGCTCATATTAGTGCCATTGAAATCAACTTTTGCATTTATTTGATTATCATCTGTTTTGAACATAACATATAAAAGTTGGTTTGAAAAAGTTTATTAGATAAATAATAGTGAAATGCATACTTAGATAAATCAAATCATGCAATGACGTATTTTCGATGCAATTATTGCCTAAGCCATCTAGTGCACCAATTTTGATAAGGCTCAATGCATTATCCACTTGAAAGAGATCTATGAGCGAAAAAAAATAATAATTTTTGTTGATTCTTTTTTCTTACTTCAATTCCAAATGTTTGTTTTGCTACTAAAGAAACCTACCGCCGTTTAACTGTTGAGATTTTTGTTTGTGACCGAGAAATTGCTGTTGCAAATTGATACCATGATGCATCAAATATTGATGATGTAACAACTGCAATTGTTGTAATAATTCTTGTTGTTGTTGTGATAATTGTTGCTGTAGTTGCATCTTTGATGTGTTTGTTGATTCGATATCTCCATTGATTCTTGGCTCATCTAGAAATGTTGCATTTTAACGAAAAAAAGACCGGACTTTATTAGCATTCACATCAAATACACGACGAATTATATTATTTTAAATACCAGTGTCCGGCTAAATTAATAGCAAAATGAAGAATAAAAATAGCAAATAAAAAAATCGAAACTAACCGCATTGTTGTTTTGATGCGTGCAAACGTTTTAGATGGCGTTTGTGTGATTTTTGTTTGTAAATTGATGATTGTAGCAGATTTGTATTGTGTCGATCTTGTGAATTTTGCATATTTTTCTCGCGCACAACCACCATACGACGGCGACGACGCCTTTTCACTGTTTGTTTCGCCACCGCTTAAAAATTGATGTGGTTAGATGTGGCTTAAATGTGTCCGTTTAGCCAGTGTTTTGGAGTTGTATTTGATTTTTAAATTTTATTTTGAACTAAGCCACTACTTGAAAATAAATGTTCACGTCTTTTTTTTTAATTTATATTTTATGGTTTTTCTCCTCTCTTTTGGTTCTTTATAAATTTTCGTTTTCCCTTTTCAATTTTTTTTACAAATGGAAGCACATTGTTTTTATTGTTAGTTTTATTTTACACGCACGTTTGTTTACACTATTCACTGGACACCGAGTATCGTTACCAGCAGACAAAGTGAATGATTTGGGGTTTGGTAATTGAATCTAAATGGTCTATAAACGGTATTGTTGAAATTCGATTTTCGGTCCATTTCCACATTAAATTGTCATGCAATCACCGTGTGTGTGTACTTCTCAATCACGAACATATAGCCTGCAATGCAAACAAAATAAACAAACATTGTGCATGAATACGAATGCCTATATCGAGTTCTCGATACTTTGATTTTGGTTAAAATTACAACGAATCCCATTTGCAATAAGAGACGGTTTTACATCGTGCTGCTACACATTGGTTTCATTTTCTATTCAAGATTTTTTTTTTCAATTGAAATAGAACAATTGACCGCAATTCAACATTTTACATAGAATCAAATAGCAAATGATACTAAGTCAATGTGCGCGAGTCAATCAATATTCCGACGAATGTATTCTCGTAAAATAACAGTATTTAGTGCGAATAAAATTTCGTTTCACACATTTTTGGATGGCATGTTTACTCCGCAACTTCTTTTTTAACGTAAAATATTGTCAAAAACCATGACCAATGTGAAGACGCATCAAGTGCAAAAAAAAAAAAAAAAACAAATCGAATACATAAAAAAGAGAAATTCACTTAAAATGTGATATTCAATCATGCTAACCGATCAAGCTCACAATTCATACACATATGAAGTCACAATCCATCGTTATCACTTGTCATCGAGAAAGAGTGCTCTTTCCATTCATTGGTCAATGCCAATTTGGAATTCATGTCACTTTGTTGACACTTTGCACTGCCTGTTTTGCGTGCACTGTATGCTGTTTTTCATTAAGCATGATAAAATTTTCAAATTGACCGTCATTCCGTGCACCAGTATCGATGACCGGCTGTATTTTATATCTGGGTAATATCGTTTGTCTTCTGATTTTCACGCTGTTTTAGTAATTCCATATTGTGTTCGATTCGATTGGCCATAAAAAATGGCATGATCTTTTTTTCTTCTTCATCTCTTCAAATGATTTGACTCAGCTTAAAATATGAACATCGAAACCCGAATCACTTGCCAAATACAAAAGCATTTTGCCAGCACAATTGTAACCAAACAATAATAACAGTGAATAGTAGTAGCACCGCGAAACAATACTGGCCATATGTATACGGATATACCATAAATAACTGTTGGGTCGATGATGCCCATGGTCGGTCGGTAGGCGGAAATATTTCACTCATAACATCTTAAGAGCATACGGTTTTTTCAATACACAATGGGAAAATGGTTTCTTTCACATTTTTATTTCGAGACGCTGTTCAGTCCAGTCTACATTATATTACTGCATTGCCTAGTCAATATATTTACTGAAATTGAGAATAATAAATTTGTTTGTCGTATTTCGATCCACAATATATGTTTGTGTGATTGGCCAGTTTTTTCGGGTTTTTTTTCCCTATGATTATGCTCAAGTGCTTATTGTAATTTTTTATTTGTTTAACAATTTCAATCCCAAAAAAGGTGGTGTCATTTTTTATAGAAAAAAAAAGAACAACCCTTCCCTTTGTTAAAATCGTTAAAAGAGATGAAGTGAGTTTTATTTTTTTAAAAACGTTTGTCGTCATTTCATTCTATGTGAATGCATTTGGAGAGTTGGTGAAAAATATTTCGGAAGATACGGGTTGAAAGTAAAATCAAGAGGAGAGTGTATCTGTGAAGAGGCTATCGGTTTGAAAGTAACACAAAAAAAACCATATAAACCAAAATGCACCCAAAAGAAGCAAGTGGCACCTTCATTCATCTTAACCACCATTAAAAATGCTCTTGAAAGTCAAAAATCTCATCCCCCTAAGAGTTTCAGGATTTTTCATAAAGCATTCCGGATTTTCTTTCGTCAACGCCATGAAAAATGCTAATTTCAAGCGATACCGAAAAATCTCATCACATCTTAACACGATGGACGACGGGTTGAACATTTTAAGCACTTATCCCACTGAAATCCGATTTATCTTAAAATTAATGTTAAGTGACCATTAGATTAAAACAAATGTGCACAATTTACCGAAGCGCATTCACACCCCTTTCTGTTTCACGCCACCGACAATCGAACGTATATCTCAAGTGAAGCAAACTGAAGAATGTCGACGTGAACAGTAGTAGGGTTCAAAAGTGACCGAAATAAACAACAATAACAACAAGAGAAGAAAAAAAGTGCACATAAAAAGGATTTGGTGTAACTTTGTCTCGCCAATTGATACAACAATCCCATACAACAACAGTCGGAAAGTATAATCATCAACATACTGTGAACATGTAACCAAATCATCTTTTTCTGTCACTTTGCACTCATTATTAATTACAGTAATTAACTTTTGAACGGAACCACATGTTCTTGAATGTTCCAATGTTTGGGGGATTTTAAAAGAAAAATGACTTGAACACAATAAAAAAAAACATGTAATGTCGAATAAATGCCAAAAATCAAAACAATGTGTGTGTTTTTTAATTTCTTTTGCTTGCGAACGTTTGTGTATATAGACAAGAAAAACTTATTGAAGTGCAAGTGCGAGGTAGATTAAAAAACACCATGACAACTCGACTATTTTGTTGCTTAGTTTTGCAATTTGCCAGCGTTTTTTTTTTCAGCTATTTAATAGAAAATTTCGGCAAACATTTGATATTCGGGCATGGGTGTTGTAATGCTGCATGTTTTTTGATAATTAAAATGCTTTTTCGAGTCATTAGTTTCTTTCGAATAAGAAACACTTGAATAAAATCATCAAACGAGTGTTAAATGAAAAACAAAATCGTCATTCGATTTCATTTGAATAAAAAAAAATTAAAACCAAATCAAGTCTAATCTGTACAGTCGAAAGAAAAAAAAACTAAAAGTCAAAATATCGGCGGTTATATTTGAATGAAAATGTGAAAAAGGAACTCTCCTTCAGGAATACTTTTAGCGAGTTTTGTATGTGCGAATGAGTGAATCGGAGGCTTGGAATGGTAATTAATGTGATGTGGTGCGTCCTACTTGAAGGGAGAATCAATTTTGAATTTAATGTGAGAAATTTCTTTTTGGCGATGATTATCTTATGCCAGTTAGTTGACTGCGGGTGGGTGGGTGGTTGTGTGTGTGTGTTTCATTATTTTCGGCAATTTCTTCTCGGCATGGCATGGGAATTATTCGACAAAGTTATATTCGAGGCAGATAGAAAGACACACATTATAAACAGCGAGATGGTACAAGCGAACCAAAGACAATACAACGGAAATCGTTTATCTTTTAATTGATATTTTTCCCATTGAAAAGCTTTCATTGCATTTCTCATTTGAATTGCTTGACATAAATAGAGACGACACAGTCAACCGTTGTGTTTCGGTTGTCATGAAGGGGGGCAATCATTTTCATTTATGCCACAAATTTCCTGTGTTGCGGTTAATTTCTTTTCTCAACACTCATACAAAACACACACACACACACAGTCGAATCGAGTGTCAAGAATGCACAGTAATAAAAATCACGCAAAGTTACCAAATTAAAAATGGAAAGTTAATCGAAAGGAAAGCCGAAAATGAAAACACACACACACAATCACCAAATTTGAATGTTACTATAATAAAAAGTCGTTCAGGTTACTTTTCCGTCATTTTATTTTAATTATTATTCAAAGTCATGTTTAATGATCGCATAGAACGATACACCTTGCGCGATTCATTAGCAACATTGGAATATATCAGTCACAAGTGACGCTTCATGATTTTTTCGCACTTTTTTTAAAGCAGTAAATAAATTGTTTTCATTTCGGAAAATGTGTAAAAGAAAAAGATAGAAAAGTGTTCGTGTTTAATGCAAGCGAATTTAATTGACACATTTTAATTCCAGGTATTTTCTTTTCTTCTAATTTCAAGCGATTGAAAGATAAGCCAGTTTTAATAGTGTACAAGTCTAATCTAAATCACTTTCTATTTAGTGCAGGATGATTTTCTTACCCACAAAAATGATTTCCACTTGAAAATTTATTTACTCTAACAAAAATTAAAAAAAATTTCATTTCGGGATATCTACACTAGAAACGATTTCACAAATTTATTATTACACTCTACTGAAACTGCTTTTGTTTTTTATTTCAATGTAAAATGTCACCAAAAAAATCTATTTCTTTTGTATAAATAATTGGTAGGAAGGTGGTTTTTTCTTCATAAAGCACATATCAATTAGACAAATTATTCAAAATAAACAGCAGCATCAATGTCCAATTTGCATTGCAAATTAATTTGTGATGACCTATGAATTTTTTTTACCCAAAATTCATCACTGAAAAGATTATTTTTTTTATTAATATTTCATTTTTTTATTGCCATTATTCCTTGCATTTTTTGCCTCTTAAACAAAAACAACTTCGTTTTGGCCGAAAATAGTACTACAGTAAAAAAAAGTTTGATGTACATAAGTCAGATCGTATTGGGGCTTTTCATTCACACTTGATCACGCGTAACTTAAAAGCTAGTTTCAAAATTCACTCACTTGTAATATTCACAATGTACGAGCTTTTTTATTGGACATTCTTACATTTCGATTGAATTTAAATTGTTTATTTGTTTTTTTTTAATTGGAGTTCGATGGGCTGATTTTTCTGATCTATTTATGCAAATCTCAGTGCACCACGGTGAAAGGTAAAAATTGGCTAATCTATATTCCAAGAGTATCCTTGTGATAGTGTAAAAAAAACTGAGGTGCTAGCCAAAAGTCTTTCAACTCTTCCAGTCGTCCGAACTGCATCCAACAGCACTGTAAGCACGAAAATGAATCGGCATTTGGAGGAGCAATGAATTTGTATGGTAATACTGTGTGCTGCTACTGCAAACGGTGCTGCGTGGTATTTTGTTATTATTTTGTTTA